AGGCCACAACAGTGAGAGGCCCGCGTACCGCAAAAAAAAAAAAAAAAGATTTGAGGCAAATATAACAATACATATAAAACTAGGGCCCGGGCTTCCCTGGTGGTGCAGTGGTTAAGAATCCGCCTGCCAGTGCAGGGGACACGGGTTTGAGCCCTGGTCTGGGAAGATCCCACATGCCGCGGAGCAACTAAGCCCATGCGCCACAACTACTGAGCCTGCGCTCTAGAGCCCGCGAGCCACAACTCCTGAGCCTGTGAGCCACAACTCCTGAAGCCTGGGTGCCTAGAGCGCGTGCCCTGCAACAAGAGAAGCCACTGCAATGAGAAGCCCGCGCACCGCAACGAAGAGTAGCCCCCACTCGCCACAACTAGAGAAAGCCGTGCACAGCAACGAAGACCCAACGCAGCCAAAAATAAATAAATAAAATAAATAAACTTAAAAACAAAAACAAACAAAAAAAACCCCTAGGGCCTGTGTGAGCTCTCCACGTCCCTTCTCTCCCCGAGCTTCTCCAAAGTAGTTCTGTCAAGAAGTCAGCATCTGGGACTTCCCTGGTGGCGCGGTGGTTAAGAACCCGCCTGCCAATGCAGGGGACACAGGTTCGAGCCCTGGTCCGGGAAGATCCCACATGCCACGGAGCAACTAAGCCCGTGCACCACAACTACTGAGCTCGTATGCCACAATTACTGAAGCCCGCGTGCCTAGAGCCCATGCTCCACAACAAGACAAGACACTGCAATGAGAAGCCTGCGCAACAAAGAGTAGCCCCTGCTCTCCACAACTAGAGAAAGCCCACGTGCAGCAATGAAGACACAACACAGTCAAAAAAATAAATTAATTAAAAAAAAAAAATTCAGCATCCATTACTCCTAAGTATGTTTTTATATGTCATATATTTTATTTAAAACAAATGAACCTGAAATACATGTGAATACTTTCAGATAAAAGTTCTTTTTAATTTTTTTTTTTTTTGTCAGTTTGAAGAGTAAAAGATAGGTTTAATGGGAGCCCATTAGGTGTGGGCAGAATAAATCAGGTAAGTATCTTCCTGCCAACTCAGATTCATGAAGACAGAGATACCACCAAGACTTATAAATCCTGGGACTTCCCTGGTGGTCCAGTGGTTAAGAATCTGTGCTTCCACTGCTGAAGGGATGAGTTCAATCCCTGCTCAGGGAACTAAGATCCCGCATGCTGCATGGTGCGGCCAAAAAAAAAAAAAAAAAGACTTATGAATCCTTAGCAAGTCCTTACTAGTGACCAGCAGTGCAACAATGAACAGAACCCCAAATGAGATGGATGTCCACACTGGACATGCAGAGTAACTCTACCACACAGAATGGGAAACTCAAGAGGTAGCCCAGGGGACCTTCTCAGTTCTTCAAGCTAAAAGCCATGATTTTGGAGGAAAAAATCCTATGGGAAGTAAAGAGATGGTTTTGAAGAGGGTAAACAACAAGGAGAGCTCCTGGTGAGGGTGGAGGAATCAGACTGAGGAGCAGGCAGAAGAAAATCTTGTAGGAGATGCTGATATGAAGGATTTAATCATATACGAGACAAGCTTAAGATCTGATGGAAGCCTGCCAATGTCACTGCTTAAAATAAAACAAAGCAACAAAGAAGGCGCCTAGATTTATGCCCAGATGATGAGAAAGGACTAATTGCTGAGGTGGCAGTGAACAAATGAACTGGGGAATGAGAACTGGGCATTTACTGAGTGTTGACTACAAGCAAGGTGGTGAGGGAATCATCTTGGATTTTCCAACAGGAAAGAAGACAATGAATGACAGGTTGTAGGACACAGAACTCAAGTCTTTAGGAAAGCAGATTTCTGAAAATCCAAAGAAAAAGTAGCCAATTTCAAAGCCTCAGATTAGAATGATCAAAAATTTGGAAGACACTAAATATAGTAACTCAGAGTATGAGAGGTGATCCCAAGAAAAGAGAAAGCAACAAAGCTTAGGTGAGCACAACTCACCAAAGAACACATATGGGAGACAGATAAAGGGTACATTACCAATATAAGAGAATAAATGTAAGAAATGTACGAATCTGAAAGACTACATCAGGCTCTATAATAACATGGAAAATGCTGATGACAGACTGTCAAGTGAAAAGGAAGAAAGCAGTAAGACTACAAAGGGAAAAGCAAAAATAAAGTCCATACCCAGAAAAGATTAGAAGGAAATGCACAAAATGTTGACAATGACTGCATTTGGGTGGTGCACTGTGGGCAACTTTTCTTCTTACTTTACTTTCCAAATTTTCTTTGGTGGACACGAATTGTTTGTCTAACATCTAATGAAGAAAAGGTTACAGTCCAGAGCAAATAGGCTCATCTGAAATGCCAATGGGGGGGCTCCCCTAGTGGCGCAGTGGTTGAGAGTGCGCCTGCCGATGCAGGGGACGCGGGTTCGTGCCCCGGTCTGGGAAGATCCCACATGCCGCGGAGCGGCTGGGCCCTTGAGCCATGGCCGCAAAAGCCAATGGGGGACTTCCCTGGTGGTCCAGTGGTTAGGACTCGGCGCTTTCACTGCCATGGCCCCGGGTTCATTCCCAGGTGGGGAACTAAGATCCCACAAGCCAAGCGGCACGGCCCAAAAAAAAAAAAAAAAAAACCAATGTTTTTCTTTTTTTCCAAGTGTTTGGAGCAATGTTGCTTTAAGAAAAAGGGCAGAACTGTTGGTCTCTTTTGCTGTACTACTAAAGGGCAGTAGAACAGCTATCATTAAGTAAGAACTAAAACCCAAGATAGGTGACAAGGGCTTTAGAAATAGTTTTAATAGATTTAAATCTTCTAATCTAGAATTACACCCCACTGTACTAACCAAAACACAAAGCAGTGATTTCAGAATTAGGCAGTCATCTCTAAAAAGTTGCAGGGAAGGAACGAGGTACCTTAAAGCCTTGAGAAGGACTAATTCTGTACTGATTTTCAGAAAAGAGGAAAAGAGAAATTCCCAAACGATGCAAAAGATTGTCATTCTCTGAAATTTTTAAAAAATAGCTTATCAGACAGAATCTCTGATCCCTTAAGAAACTAAGTCTTTCCCATAGGAAATGACATGAGTTCACTAAGAAGCAAGCCAACTAACCTCCTTTCTTTTTTGATTGGATTAGCAGGCCAAGAAATTCAAAGAATACCACAGACATGTTCTATCTCGAGTTTATTAAGGCATGTAATCCAGTTCCCCATGACAATAAAATGATAGGTGGGCCTGATAATAGAAGACTGTAATTCATGGATCTGTGTGTCATGGCAGGATACGGGATTATCCTGTTTGACATTTACCAACAACTGGATAAAGATGCAGAAGCCATGTATACCAAAGTGAGGAGTGCAGCTAAAATGTTGAAAGGCAGAGTCAAGATGAAAATTAACTCCGTAGGCTGAAATGGAGTCTTGAAATCAAGATGAAATGTAACAGGGATAAATAAAAAGGCAACTTTTTAAAATGTCTCAAGTACAAGATGAGAAAAACTGTTTTGATAGGTGCAATTCCTGAGGGAAAGAACTGGTGCTTTGGTTGACTAGAAGATGACTACTATGAAATGGACGGGACAGAAACCATGGTCAGAGTCCTGCCATGCACTGCATGAATCCAACCAAATCTGGAATCTGTACCTCATCTGATGAAGGACATTTAGCAACTGGGAAGGGTCTATAGGAGGGAAACCAGAAAGTCATGTCGCATAACAAAGTTTAGGGAATGGGCTGTCCATTCCTTCACCTGAAGAGTTACTGTGTGAATGAGGAAAGGACTTAAAGTTGTTCTAAGAGTTACACAATAACTAATAGAAATTACTAGAGAGCAATTTTTGTTCAACATGAAGAAGTATCCAAGACCGTGGGGACTTCCCTGGAGGTCCAGGGGTTAAGACTACACGCTTCCATTGCAAGGGGCACAGATCCGATCCCTGGCTGGGGAACTAAAATCTCACATGCCACAGGGTGCGGCCAAAAAAAAAAAAAAAAGAAAGAAAGAAAGAAAGAAAAATAAATAAACAGTGTGCATGCCTTAATTAAAACAAAAACAAGACTGACTGCTTCACAAATAGTTCTCATGCCACCACTAGGAAGTGTTCAGACAGAGGCCAAAGGACCATGGGGAACTTTGCCGAAAGGCCTGCAGCCCTGGGCAGGAGGTGGGATCCAGATGACCTACCTCTAAGGTCCTTTCCAACCATGAGAGCTTTGATCTTGGAGATAAAGAGAACCTGCTTGACACTGTCACTCAAAAGTAGCGAGTTACTCTTGATAAGGACTGGTCTAGTGCAGCGCATCCCAAACCACATCCCTGAAGCTGGCAGAGAGGTTAGGAACACAGGCTTCAGTCAGACCAGCCTTCGAATCCCAGCCTTGCTACTTACTACCTGTGGGACCTTGAGCAAGTTTCTCAACCTCTCAGCACCTTACTTTCCTCACCGGTAACACAGAAATGATAAATACGTTCCCTGCAACAGGGTGTTGGAAGATAAGCTAACCACATAGCAGAGTGATTGGCACATAGTAAGCATTTATCAAATGGTGTATTTTATTACTGTTGATATTAATAAGAAGAAATAACTTGACACCTACTGTGGCTGCAGGAATCAAGATGCTTATTCCAATGTCCCCATTCTCCCAAGAAGCTGGACCACTTAGGTGACTGTTTGGAAGATGGAGAATGCCAGATAATAATAATAACTAACATTTACTATATGCCAGACACCACTCTAAGAATCATAACATTTTGTTAGAGTCTCCCAACCACCCTATAATAACTAACGTTAACCTGCCTTTCCAGATGAGGAAACTGAGGTTCTTAGAGGCTAAACAACTTACCTAAGGTCAAAGAGCTAGAAAGTGACAAGCCAGGATTTGAATACAGGCAGTCAGACTTCAGAACCCACGCTCTTAACCACAACACCAGTGGTTCTCAATCCTGACTGCACATTAGAACTACCTGAGGAGATATAAAAATAATAATTGTCTCTGAGATCTACCCAAACCCATTCCCTCACTCTAATTTAAATTGATCTGGGAAAGGCAGCAGGGTTCTCTGGAGTTCAAGAACACACTCCAAAGCCATGCTGCCTCCTGGATCAAAAACAGGTTGTAATGAGCAACTGACATTCCAGGCAGATCTATTGTTTTTAAGAGAATCTTTAAAACCATGAGATCGGGATTACTTTTCAAAAAAACATTTTTTAAAAAATTAAAATTTAACCCCGAAAGTGATCATTTTCAGGAAGGTATATCCTATTCCCATTTTACGACAAGGAAAGTGAGACCTAAAGAGGTTCACTAACTCGCCCGCATTCACTAAGGAACTGAGACTAGATCCCAGGAGGGCTCAGCACTCTAAAGAGCCCCAACACAGGTGGGAAGAGAGGCTGAAGTGGGTAATTAGGGATGCTTCACAGAGGCAGTGACATCTGAACCAGAAAAAGCATGGGACAAGGAAGGGCAAATCCACAGAGCGACAGGCATGAGCAAGGTCAGAAACAAGATGTCACAAGGAATGCTTACGGGACTAGAAGGAGACAGGGGGGCTGCTTTCAAGGTGGAGCTGTAAGAAAGGCCTCCGACATCTGCTAGGGTCTAGACCGTGCAGGCACATGAATGCCAAGCTGCACAGCTGGCCTTGGCCTTCATAGGACTTTTCCTGAAACAGAAATCCACTCAAGCAGATGCCTGGATGCCTAGCCTGCAAGGGAAGCAAGGTCATATTTCCAAATTGAACTCATTATGCAGAAAAAAGGAGTAAAGCAGCATCCAGAGTTGAGCTCTGCATCCGAGCTACTCTGTCCACTGGCACGGAATGAGGTTTGGGTCTCTGGTATCATACCACATATTGTAAGGCAATAGAGCAAAGTAGTTAAGAACAAGGCTTTAGAGTCAGATAAACCTGGGTTTATCTGGTTTATCAGGTTCTAACCCTGACTCTACTTTTACTAGCTGTGTAAACCTGGGCATTTATTTAACTTCTTTGGGCCTGTTTCCTCTGTAAAATAGGGATAAAAATACATTCCTCATGGGGTTGTTGTGAGAAATGAGTACGAAACAAATATGTAACCTGCTAATTAACACAGTGCCTGGTAAGAGAGCAAGTTCCCAACAAATAGTCGCTATTCTTTCATTCATTCAACATGTTTTTATCAAACAAGCTAGCCTAGAGAAACTCACACAGCAGAGCATAGACCTTTAACATGCATTCAGAAGGCTGCCTATTAAGCCCTTCACAAAACCCAAATTTCCAAATACAACAGAGGGCGATGATTTGCATTTATGGAATAATAAATATGACTATGAACTCACTAGAAGGGTAATAATAATTTTCCCCTCTATTTATAAATTGCTTTCGAAAATTGGGGTAGATTACTAGATATGATAATTCAGGGTGAATTTCAGGAAGCATAATACTTACCCTAACGAAACACAAAAATAAAATAAAATCACAAGCCTGTATCAAGCGAAGTATTAATGGTATCCCCCCGAGCCATCTGACTCCCCTAAAAGACAGTCTCACTGTGATACACTCCCACTACATTTAAAGGCAAAGAAAAGTTAACACTTCTATGTTAAAAGCAGAAAATGAGTAACACTCCATAGAAGCACAGTTCTAATCTCAGCTCTGCCACCAACGAGGTGACGTTCTCTGGGGCTTCTCAGAGAAGACAATCTCCTTTTTCCCAGCTCTAACATCTGAGAGACAGCTAATGCAGCTCAACTTTAACAGGTCACCTCAGAAATGGGGAATTCACCAGTTCCTTCCTTTGGCAGTATCTGGATGAGGACTGGACATGCAAGGCAAGGCCCTGGACATGCATGAGGCCCTGGCAGGGAAAAGTCATTCTCTGGGAAAATGTGGAAAAATTCCCCCCGAACACCCTGTACCTTTCTTCATCATGTCTCGGTCCAAGGCTACATTTCTTTGGGCAAGATTTACTTCTGATCGAAAATGGAAGCGCTTGGCTCGCTGTTCTTTCTTTTCAATTGCTTCCTAGAAGGTACAGAAAAAGCCAAAGAAGTGAAACATGGAGGAGGAAAGTTAAATCACAAACACAAAATGATGCATCACTGACAAGTAACTTAGAAGAAATAAGCAACATTGTGCCTTTAATAATTTTTGCAAAGAACTAGACATTCACAGTCAATGACTGGGAGGGTGTACACTAATAGTGCTATAATTTGTAATAATCTCTACAATGATTCATTGCCTATCACTGTATCTGGGACACAGTAGGAATTCAATGAATATTTGTTGATTCAGTGAGTAATGAATAATGGTTTGACATTTATTATTAGGAATCATGTAAACAAATTGTAACTAAACAATCTTAACATTCCAATTTTTCAGGTGAAGAAACTGAGGCACAAAGAAAGTTAGAAGGTTTGCTAGAGGCACTTCAGCTAATAAGGGGTATTTATTTCTAGATCTTCTGATCTCAGTACTATTTCTAGAAGCCCCACCACCACCCCCATTTCACAAAGTCTGTGTGCATGGTAATCACACCTATCACATTATGTCTGCCTGAGCAGTCCACTCCCTAAAGCTTTTTCTGCATTTGAAAATAACATTGAAGCAAAGAAACTCTCTCCTCTATTCTAAACCTGTGCCCACGGAATTGCCAGTTTTCATCTATAAGTGACAAGAAGCATTGATGCTCTCTAAAAAACAAAACAATCAGTTTCCTAAATTTTTTTTCCAAGAGGTAAAATAAATCCAGGTCCAACTATGGGTTTCTGATAGCTTTTAGGAAGCTTCACTAATTGTATGTTGACTTTGCCACACTAATTGAAGGTCTGACTATAGAAAGCTTGTGGGGATTGGTAAAGTAGCAACAATTCTGTTATTTCCCAATAGTTATGCCAATTTTCTTCACTTAAATCTTCCCAGTGGAAACAACTAATCTACCTTCCTTTAGTAAGACTGAAGTACCAATTCTCGGCTCCCACCCTTTCCCCCATATATTTGTTTCATACAATGGTAAACGGTGTGGGCTTAAGAAGAGTACTGTATACTTCTTTTTCAATTACAATAAGAAAACATCTTCACTTTATTCTATTTTCTTGTCAAAAAAGATGATCAGTTCTTTCTTTTCGCCTTTAAGCAATCAGAGATTGAGACCCAGATAAAACACAAAAAAGTAAGCATGACATACTTATTTTTATTTTTGCTTTCATACATCCAATATAGTAACACAGTATTATTTATTCAGAATTGTAACTTAAACTCTGTTCAAAACTTAATTGCACACATTAAAATCAGAAACAATCAGAAACAATGTTTAAGCTGAATATCATCAGCAATTAAAGCAACAAATAAGTATCAACTGTTTATTGTAAAGAAAATAATATGTTTGGTTCTGTGAAGAGTTTCAGTGAAGCTGGTAATCTAGTAACAGCAATCACTAGATAAAAGGCAATACTCCCAGGTACTGGGAATAATTCAGTCCACTTGGCCTTCAAAGTTTAGCCACACACACACACATCCAGGAAATCATATTTTTCTCGGCCTCAACCAGTGAGGAATAAAGACATTTACTAAGGGCTTACTATGTGCAAGGCACTTTCATGTTTTGCTTCATTTAAAGTGGAAACAGTTTACACATTTTTAAAGAATGGACAGCATAAAAAAAGCACTCCAGTGCAGAACTTTTTCTTGGACATGGTTAATTACAGGCATCTAGGTAGTGATTATATCTTCTCATGGATTCAACAACACACAAATGCTGTCTGAATGTTTTCAGGATGCATGAAGGCATCATGGTATAACACAAAATTTAAACCTAAAGAAAAAGTTTCAATCCAACAACAAAAGAAAAAAGGAGGTAAAGAATAACTGCTGTTCTCCTAGAGATTTGTTCATTAAGTTCACCAGCTTCTCAAAATGAATAAATTAATCGTGGTCTGTCTTACCTTGGAGGTGACATCGATCCCAGTGATGAAGCTGCCAGCCTTGTTTTCATATCTTCTGCTTGTGTCCTAACAAGAAGGGGATGGGTGAGAATTGCTAACGAGCAACCGACGACAAGCACATGATAAACAACAGGCTGACAACCCATTCCTTCTGGATAGTCGTTCTTTTCAGCAATCCTTCCCCCGCCCTGACAACCCCATATTATGGGGAAGCCTGTCCCAGTGACTCCATGTAGCAATCAACTACTGTACCAAGAAGGCTTTTCTAGGCCTATCCACAACCTAAAGTAATTCCATCTACTGAAGGTATCCGTGTAAATGAAAATCTAAAGGCGTTCATGAAAAATATCCAAGATGAGGCACAGTCACTTATCTCCCCAACCCAGACTGGACAGATTCATTGTGCCAGGCCACCAGATGGAGCACAAGTCTTCACCAAAATGCAGAAAGCCAGGACTCACCTCGACCTTCTGGGGAAAACACAGCACAGTGCAATGGAAACAGGATGGGATTTGGAAGCCTGGGGACTCAAATCACAGCTCTGACGTTCACTGATTACATGACACTGTACAATTCCTTAGGCCTCTCTGGGCCTAGGTTTCCTCTGTGGTATCTGCCTACCTTTCTGACCTCTTTTAACTGCTCTCCCACTTGTGCTACAGAACTTTACCTTTCTCCAACAACAATCTTGTTCCCATCTCAGAGCCTCTGCACTTACTGTTGCCCCTGCTGGGAACGCTCTCTTCCAAATCGTCACACGGCTGGCTCCTTTTTGTCACTTAGGGTTCAGCTTAAATTTCACTATCTCAGAGGACTTTCCTGACCATCCTATGCCATTCTGCTTCCTGCTCTGCACACCCTCCCTGCCCTCTGCACACTTCCATCCCATTAACATGCTTTATTCTCTCCACAGCACTCACCACTACCGTAAATTATTAGTTTACTTGTGTCCCCCCAGCTGGAACATAAGCTCCAGGACACAGTCTGGTCTTGATCTTGGTCAAGTGCCTAGGACTGTGGCTGGCACTAAGTGGGGGACGCAATAAGTACATGTTGAACTGAAGGAATGAAGGGATGATAACACCTACTTCACAACCTCAGTGATATTTTAAATGATATAATGTAGTAAATGGTAAAATGCCACTATGTTAGTTGTTGTTGCCAGAGTCACTATAATTTACTGTCTTTAGTGCTCTTACCTTATTTTTTTAAATCTTTTTCCATAACCTTAATTTAAAAGCAAGACTAGCAGACATGTGCTAAAAAGTAGTCCATGTTAGGTGAGAAATTAAGTACATGAGAGGAGCCATGCAGGCCTGAGACCAGCCCCAAGAACCGGACACAAGACCACCAAACCACCTCTCAAGCGAAAACACCTTTCAGCATCCCCGTTGTGATAAAAGAGGGACCAAGGACCACTGCTGGTTCACTGATGCTTTGTTTTCATTAAGGGTGAGATGCCGGAGCCACGGTGTAACAGCGGAGCCGCGCGGGGACAAGATGACCCTCAAGTCACAACAGAAACACAGAGTTTCTGCAGCTGACAAACCCAGCTCTCCCAAGGGAAACCGCGAGTGCTATGTTTAACAGACACCAGCTCCACCGGAGTAGGACCCACAAAGAGACGGGGATGCCCGCGCCACTCGACAGTTCTTTCTGGGCCGCTCCTGGTTCTGTTCCCGCCCGGGGCTCGCCCTTTATCTCAAGCCCCCAGATAAGCCCAACCCCTACTCATTCACACTCTTGCACAGACTGACTCCGAGGGGCAGCGAAGGGGGTGTCCTCAACTACCCCCCAGCTCTTCCCCACCTCCTCCAGCCCCCTCAACACCCATTTCCGGGCGCCCCAGCGTCCTTTCTCTCGCTGCCCGTCTCTGCCCAAGCCTGGCGCCCCCGCCCCCCGGGCGCTCGCCCCCCTCATCCCTCCCCCAGACTTCCCCCGGCCCCGGCCACCTCCCCTTCCGGCCCCCACCGGCGCGGGACACTCGCTCAGCGACCTCCTCCTCGCCCTCGCCCCCGCCCCCCGCCCGTACCGGGATCAGTTCCTTTAGCGAGCGCCGAACCGGCACGACCTCCAGCTCGCCCTCCTCCACCTCCATGGGCTCCGGCTCGCCGCGGTCCAAACCTGACTCTGCTTCAGGCGACGGGGGCCCCAAGGCCGGCCCCGCCGGGACCTCCGCCTTCACCGACACTCGCAGGCCCCGTACGGCCGCCATCGCCGCCCGCCGGCCGCACCACTGAGAGCTCGCCCCGCACACCGCGGGCTAGAGCGCCACTGCCACAGGCCACAGAGCAGCCGCTACCTAGAGCGTCGCCTGCTGCGGCTAGAAGGCTCTCTTCAGCGCCGACGCCCTCTGGTGGTGGGAGGAACCCTGGACGGCTGGAGCGGGATCTGGTGAAGCGGAGGCGGGACCGAGTGGGAACGGAGGCAGGGCCTGCTGGAGGGCCCCCCCCCCGCCCCTGCGGGGCCTGGAGCAGTTCGCTACAGTCTGGGCTTAGAAAATAGCTACACCTTGAGCAGTAAACTTGTAATCAAAGCTAATTTTACTGAATTATCATTACCTGCCAGTGACTGTTCCAAGCGCTTGAATCCTTACAACAACCCTATGAAGTTTCTACTTTTACTATCCCCATTTCACATTTGAGGAAACTGAGGCATTGAAATTTACCCAAGGTGACAGGCTATTTAAAGGACAAAATCCGGATGTGAGCCTTGGCAACCAGAATGAGCCTTGGTCTGTCACTTCTGGGCAAGTCTGTAGGTTTACAATGCACTTGCCTTGACAACCTTTGTCTCAAGTCTCCCAATAGTTGGCCCATTTTACATACCGCAAAATTGAGACTCCAAGAGGGTAGTGAGCTTGAACGCTAATTTCGTGTCTCCCAAGGGCTCGGTCTGCTGGAGACTTCTGAGCACGGTTTCTTGCGGACATTTCTAACAAGAACCTGGTTGGGAGAGAGGGAGTGTCCTCTAGGCTTCCAGAGGGCGCCACTGGTCAGTTTTTGCTTTGAGTCCTGATTTTGCACCTTCCTCCCTGTGTTACCTTGGGCTAGTTCTGACCCCTTTCTGGTCCTGTCTTCCCATCTGAGGAGGGTGGAGGTGGCATCCTAGGGTCTCCAAGGCCTTACCAGCTCTGACAATGGAGAAGCAAATAATTATAAACCAAGGGAGAACATGATCAATATCAGACACACCTGGGTCTCAAGCTGGCTGGCTCCGCCCCTTACACCACATGTGACCTTGGGCAAGCTACTTAACCCTTTGGAATTTCAATTTCTTCATCAGTAAAATGGGTCATTACCCACCATGGGAGGTTGTGAGGCTTAAATGAGATAATTATATGTAGATACAGGATCAGACAGAAGGGGTACAGTACATCATAGTTTTTTGTTTGTTTGTTTGGTTTTGCTTATTTAAAAATATGGTCTAAAACAGAGCAAACACGAGATGGAGCTCTTTAGAGGGCTAGTTTTCCTTGATGAAAGGGACACATAGTAGTTACAAGATTGGGTTAAATATATGGAATGCACTTGCATGAATTTTAAAGAACATTTCGAAGAAAGTTTGTGCTTAGCTGGCCAGCTTTGGGCCACAGTCACAGACCGCGCCATTACATGTATTCCATAGGCCTGAGGGGGTGGGGCATGGGGAGAGGAGGAAGCAATCCCTCCTCAGCTATGGACATCAGGAGGCCAGCAGAGGAGGTTGCGAAGGCCCCTCTCCCTGCAGGGTAAGAGCCTCGAGGACTCAGGCGTTGCAATTCAGCACAGTTCAGAGGAGAACCAGCTCCCTGGGGGACCTCTGGCTGGCACGAGAATCAGGAATCCAGAGCAAGCCAGGGCATCCAGCAAACACCAGGGGTCCTAGACTCCTGTCAGAAAAGCCCTTGATGCCTGTACCTTTCTGTTCACCTAACTCACCCCCACCGCCCCTTCCTTTCCTCAGTGCAGCCTGCTGAGGTGAGGTCACAGCACTAGTAGCGGCAAAGAACAATTTTCAAAAAAGTTAAAAAAGTGACTCCCAAATATTAAATGAACACATCAAAGCTTTTAATCCTCATTAATGAATGAGGACATCAGTAAGATTTTATAAATTTATTTATGTATTTATTTTTGGCTGCATTGAGTCTTTTTTTTTAATAAATTTATTTATTTTATTTATTTTATTTTATTTTTTGGCTGTGTTGTGTCTTCGTTGCTGCACGTGGGCTTTTCTCTGGATGCGGCGAGCAGGGGCTACTCTTCATTGTGGTGCACAGGCTTCTCATTGTGGTGGCTTCTCTTGTTGCAGAGCACAGGCTCTAGCCGCACGGACTTCAGTAGTTGTGGCACACAGGCTCAGTAGTTGTGGCTCGCGGGCTCTAGAGCACAGGCTCAGTAGTTGTGGCGCACGGGCTTAGTTGCTCCGCGGCATGTGGGATCTTCCCAGACCAGGGCTCGAACCCGTGTCTCCTGCATTGGCGGGCGGATTCTTAACCACTGCGCCACCAGGGAGGCCCTGCGTTGGGTCTTCATTGCTGTGCGCGGGCTTTCTCTAGTTGCGGCGAGCAGGGGCTACTCTTTGTTGCGGCGTGTGGGCTTCTCATTGCGGTGGCTTCTCTTATTGTGGAGCACGGGCTCTAGGCGTGCAGGCTCAGTAGTTGTGGCTCACAGGCTCTAGAGCGCAGGCTCAGCAGTTGTGGTGCACGGGCTTAGCCGCTCCGCGGCATGTGGGATCTTCCCAGACCAGGGCTCGAACCCATGTCTCCTGTATTGGCAGGCGGATTCCCAACCACTGCACCACCAGGCAAGTCCCCAGGAAGATATTAAGACTAGCTCAAAAGAGAATTTGAGCATGAATACCAAGTTGGTCAATCAAAGGAATATTGAAATGAATTTAACCACAGAGGTTAATGCTCTACAAGGCAAGAAACTGTAACCTTTGGGGTTCCCTTTTCTACCAGACAGAAAATATTTGCATTACTATTGGACAAGAATTATTTACTCAAAAGAAATACATTTAAAAAAAGAATTATTTGCTCATTGTGAATTTTCTATAAATTAATCTCTGCCCTTACAGAGTTGTAAAATACCCTAATCAATAGTAAATCGGAAGTCAAACCAAGGTACCCTTCCCTAGAGAATGAGATGATCCCAGGTGGAATAGGCATGTTAGATAGCAGCTGGCATTATACTGAAACAACATCAGTGTGGCTATTTTTCCTATTCCTTTTTCTTATTTCCAATGTCTGGATAATTTTCTATTAACAGAAGAAACCAGGAGAGTGGGATACTGAGACAGACTGGAGAGTTTCATAAAAGAAGTGATCAAGTGTCACATACAGGACTTCCCTGGTAACGCAGTGGTTAAGAATCTGCCTGCCAATGCAGGGGACACGGGTTCGAGCCCTGGTCCGGGAAGGTCCCACATGCCGCGGAGCAACTAATCCCCTGCACCACAACTACTGAGCCTGCACTCTGGAGCCCGCGTGCCACAACTACCGAAGCCCACACGCCTAGAGCCCATGCTCCGCAACAAGAGAAGCCCCCACTTACTGCAACTAGAGAAAGCCCACGCACAGCAACAAAGACCCAATGCAGCCAAAAATAAAAAAATAAATAACATTTAAAAAAAATACATTATGTCATATATCCACCTTTAAAAAAAAAAATTACCACACTAAGGCAAATGTTACTAACAGGGGAAACTGGGGGGCGGGAGAGGCAGGTGAGAGGGTGTATGGGACTCTGTACTTTCTACTCATTTTTTCTGTCAACCTAAAACTGTTCCAAAAAATAAAGTCTGTTTGTTAAAACAACAACAACAACAAAACCTTGACACCCAGACTACATTCCAGACCAAAATAAATCAGAATCTCTAAGGGTGGATGATTTTTTAAAAGCTCCCTAGGAGATTTTAGCATGTAGCCAGGTTGATAACTGATGTTTACGCTGAACTGGGAACGGGAGAGGGCAGACTACAGCTGGGAGCTCTCTCAGCTTTGGGGTGCATTTCCCAGGGAGGTGGGTGGATGTTGGCAAGATTACCTGAAAGAAGAGGAGAGCACCTGAGGGCATGTGGAGCCTCTCCTGTGAAAGCTCCGCGCCTCGGGGCTGATCCCCTGCGCCTGGGGGAGACCGAGGGTGAAGAGGTTTAACTAGCCCCTTCCCATGTTGCGGTTCCCCATTGTTGTGGTTCCGTTCCTTCAGTGTGGACCTGTGCCTAGGCCATGGGGAAGGGAAGGTCTTGGGGAGACCAAAGGACTGGGGGGAGGGGTTGTCAAAGGGCTCTCAGTGCAGAGAGCATCAGCCAGTAGCATGCACTGTGACCAGAGCAAGCAGGGACCAGCGCTGCTGGGGACGGGACACACTGCGCCAGGAAGTAAAAGGGAAGAAGGAGTCTGCGCAGACGGCATCTGAGAGAGAAGCCAGGAGGGGCTCTTCCTGTATGCCTGGGAGTGGGGGACAGCAGCCTTCAGAAAGCCAAGGCGGTGGAAATTGGGAAATAGTTAAGGGAAGACCTGAGCTAGTTTGCAGGCTGAGGAGCAGGGAGGGAAGACCAGAGAAGGCCAGAGATATACAGGCCAGCAAAGAGGCTTACTAGGAATCAGGTGGAGAGAATGGGGTTTCCAGAGGGAAAGTTCCACTCTTGCGATTCAGTTGAGATGCTTTTCCAATGGTCTTCATCATGGCGGATCAGTGAGTAGACAGATAACAAGTTGTGAAAGTGACTCAGCCGGTAGGTAAGGCTGCAATCCCTGGGCCTTGTTTCCAGTCTTATAGGAGATGAACCAGACACCAGACCACATGCCAAGGGTGCCTCTGGGGCTGTGGACCAGGGAAGGCTTCCTGGAGGAGGTGACCTGGAGATGTTGGGGGCCTAGGCAGTGGGGAGAGCATGGAAGTTGACCACAAAGCTGGCATGGGCTAATGATAAACTGTCAGCCCAACCTGGGTGGGAACTGGCAGCTGCCCTGGAGAGTGAGAGGTCCCGGACTTTGTTCCCTGGGTCATGCTAGCTGGAGAAGTGGATGTATCTGAGACCTCAGAGGGCAGATCCAGGCCAGTCGCGCGCGCGCGCGCGCGTGTGTGTGTGTGTGTACGCAAGCGCGCGCGTGCAGGAAGGGACCAGGGACAGGAGGTGGTCATTTAAGCCATGGACACCCAGTCCATCAGGAGGCTAAAGCAGTGCAGGGAGCGGCCAGGGCTTTATTCTGCAGGTGAGACAGAGGATGGTCTCCTCCCAGCCCCTCCTGGTCTCCTTCTGGGCCTCAGTTGACCCCCAGGGCCCAGTACCACCCACCGCATGGCTCCCCAGCCTCCCTCAGTGGACCCCCAGTGGCCCAGGAGGCAGCCCCATAGATAGGCCTGCTTGTTTGCCCAAGGGGAGGCTGCGTAGGTGTGCCAGCCTGTGTGTGGGGGAGGGAATCTATAACCTGTGAGGTGTTTATATGAGTCCCAGTGCATCTGGGTGTTCCCCTGGGAAAACTGGAACCCTCAGTGGCCCTGACCACCCAACCCTCCTCCTTCAGGCTGAGACCATATAGGATGATAGAGGTTGGGGGGAGCAGAGACCAGGCAAAGTTCCTGTGGGATCCGGAGCCCAGAGACATTCTCCGCGAGGAACCAGAACCTCCCAGGGCAAACCTCAGACTGCCCCGAGCCTTTAGCTGGACACCCTGGCCTGGGCTCAGCTCCCCCGTGTAGTTAGGCCTGGGAGCACAACCTCCATCTCCCATCTTCCCAGGTGTCCTTCCCCGTACGCAGGGCTCTCGGGTTTTCCCAGCCGCTGACGTGGGAACCTGGGTGGGGGTGTGGGCAGGAGGCCTGGGCTCTGGCCTGGCTCTTCCCTAACTCGCTGTGTGACTCTGAGCCTCAGTTTCCCTACCTTAGCGTGCCACGTAGAGTGGCTGTCCTCGTGGCAAAATGACATCGTGGTCCTATTCGAAGCTCCTGTGTGTGACGATCTGTACTGTCAAACCCAGGCATAAGATTTGGTGACGAACACCCGGGATGAACCAATCTGAGGATCTTTCCTGACTGCAGAAATAGGCCTTGGAGGGTGGGGCCGACACTGATGAACAGAGGCAGGGATGGGGGATAGCCGTGTCCGGGAGGAGTGGGTGAGTGAGTCTGAAGAGCCTCTGGGGAGCAAGGAGTGGCTGGAGGGAGGGTGGGCGGGGCATGGGTCAGGAGAGCGTCCAGGGAGGCCTGGGAGGCTAATGGCAATGGCCTCAAACCCCAGGCTGAGCACTGAGAGGGGTGGGCGTGGTCAGGTGGGTGCCCAAAGACCACTCGGGTAGCTTGTAAGAGGATGGACTGGAGCACTGAGGACCGAGCCAGAGACCAGTGAGGAAGTGAGAGGCGGTGGGTCCAAAACTGAGGGACAGCGAGGGTCGGGGGACCTCTGCCTGGTTTGGGGAACTTCTGCCTGGCTGCCAGGACCCCCTCCTGCAGAGGGCTTGGTGTAGCCCTCATGGGACCTTTGCAGGACGACCAGGAAACAGGCAGCAGCAGCTTTGGTCTCCATTTCTCAGATAGAAAAACTGATCACCATGACGGGCAGCCTCTGGCTTGATCTCCTTCTGGTTGGTCTCCAGTAGCACCTGGTGAGGAGCTCTGCAGATGAGCAAATACCAGTCATGCAGGACGTGTTGAGCTTCTGGTCTCTAAGGCCGGCTTCAGGCAGCCCCAGAGGCAGGAAGTTCTTTGGGTTGTTTTTTAAGGGTCTCACTTGCTGAGTACGTCCTATGTCAGATGCTTGGCACAAATACCTCGTTTAACCTCACAAGAACCCCATGAGGAGGGGCTGATATTGTCTGCATTGTACCAACAAGGAAGCTGAGACTCCTCTGATGACCTGCACAGGGCCCACAGCTATTAGATGGCAAAGCTTGGATTCAAGATGAAGGCTATCTGACTTCAAAGATGACTTTTCTCATCATGGCCATGGAGAGGCCTCCTATGAGCAGGGAGCTGCCGGGTCCAGTTAGTACCAGTGCCCAAGGCTAAGGGGGCACTGGGAGGATACTGGCCTGTATCACAGGGACTCCTGTGAGGCTTCACTTGGGACTTCTGCCCCATGAGGAGTAGCAGTGGCTCCCAAGGACCAGACCTTGGCCTCCCTGGGCCCCTGCAAAACAGGCAGGATGCCCTGATGGGCCACCCACTGTCTCCCAAACACCCTGTTCTTCCCAAGGAGGGGCCACAGGACCTACCCAGGAGACTGAGCCACAACCTGGACTGTAGCCCCTCACCCTCCAAATCAACCCTCCCTCCCTCCCTCCCCCACCCCCAGAGCTCCTCCACTATTGCCCTACTCAGACCCCTGCAGAAAAGTTAGCAAAGCCACATCCAGATGCAGAAAATGTACATATACCAAGCTTTGGGGGGTTGTTCTGTTTTAACTCAAGAAAGGGCTTTTATTATTTTTAACTCACTTCCTAGGAAGTTAATTTTTAAAACACTCTTATGGAGTCTGTCCATCCCTTGTGCTACATTCAGAAACAATGATGCCAATCCAAACCCTCAGTGATGGGGTGAGCATGGGCAATGAAGCCGGACCCACTTTTGAGCTCTGCGAGGGGGGAGCGTGTCCCTGAAACCCCTACCCTCCAAGGCCCCAGCGCAGAGATGCTCAGGGAAAACCTGCTGATCCGTGAATGGCCTCCCGTGAACTCTATAAAAAGTGTTCTTAAGAACAGTACCGAATTATTGTTTAAGCCCTGGGTTACAATGCCTTAGTGCAGAGGAGCAGGGAGAAATGTGGACCCGGTGACAACTGGCCGTGTTCTGCTCAGAGCCTTAAATAAACATAGACACTATATTACAGATGCACGTGCTGGTGCAAGACATGCTGTGTGCAGCAGATGGGCACGCACGGGTGTGCGTGCATGGAGAGGCGATGTACACCCACAGGCACAGACACACGCGGGATGCAGCCTTCCTCCAGCCCCACCTCCTTCCCCTCCGAACAGAGTTCTGCAACAGGAACCCCGTGAGGGTGACTGAAATCCCTTGTCTGGCCCATGTCTTCAGGGCAGGTATTTGAGTCCTGCTTTATTTTCCTTTGGGGGTCAGTCTCTTCAGCATTTGGTCAGTCAAGGCCAAGCCAGCAAGCCAGGCACTGATCCCAGAGAGAAGTCGGCTCCAGCTCTGAGCAGGCGGGATGACAACTGTTCTGGGGTGAGCCAGCAACAAAAGGCCCACCTCTCCGTGGCCACCTGCCAGCGTGCACACCCCACCAGGGTTCCAGCTCTAGCGAGGCCTCCAACCTGGGCACTTGGTCCTTCATCATTGGAATGCGAGGGCAGCTTCCAGGACCAGATGGGGAGGCCGGTGCTGGATCGCAGACTGGATTTCAGTTACTTCAGCATCTGCAAGGTCACAGCCCTGTGAGTCCAGGGCCCTCGGTCGATGTCAGCCCTGGTATCTCTGGCAGCCAGGGCTCTGGGGAGCCACGGCGGGGGTGGGGGGGGGG